AAAAGAATAATACTGTAAAAAATATACAAAAATAAAGTCCATAATCTTATCAACCCAGTAATATATAAAATGGCAAGTAAGTTAATTTATTGGCAATATATTCATACATATATACAAAAAACATCTACAAGAAAGATCTGCAGTTAAAAACTTCGCTATGAAAAAGTCAAAAAGTATTTAATTGTTACGGTTTTAAAAAGTTGACAAATTTAAAGGCATATCGAATGCCCTTAGTTGTTAAATATATCTATTTTTTTAGATACAAATTTAAAAAATAAATAAAAATAAAAGTTGGAGATTAAAACATTAAATAGAAACATAAACGAGTGAAGTGATTTGAAAATAGCCATCACGATCACCTAATCTCATATGAAAATGATCTATAATAATATTATTTAATTTTAACTAATTTACATCTATATTTTCTAAACATTTTAGAATAAAAATACAAATATAATTTATTTCATTTTTTTTTGTGTAAAACTTTTTAAAATACATTTTTAAAATGTTTTCACAGCGAAGTTTCATTACAACAACCAGAAAAATTAACGAGTGACCCAAAAACAGAACTTATTGAATATTGTTCTAATAGGGTACCCCCTTAAATTTAAGGACGGTTAATAAATCTATTTCTGTTATTAGCCCGATTTACTTTTAATCAATAAATACACATAATTTTTCAGTCATTTTGTTCTATAAATAAAAGCATCGTACAGGGTCCTATAAAGTATTTCATCAGGGTAAAAAGAGATTCACGTTTTGTCATTATTTATTTCGTCTACATAACAATCAGAGAGCTAATCATCAGCTGCCTTCGTCTTTTTGTTAAATACGAACACCCTGTATCGTACAAATAACGTATAAAATTATATAAAAAATTAAAATTATAGTTCTTAATTATTATTTACAGAATTTGCAATATACATGTTTCGCTACTGTTTAATTAAAGTATATTTTTTTCTCATATTATATTTACGATATACTATATCTAACAATAAGTGATCTTTAATAATTCATATTTCAACACTGAAAAATGCAAGAGTATTCAGTAGATATCACCTTTAAAAACAATTGTAAATTATACATTGACAATGCCTATATGTTTGTTGGAATGCCCCCTTTTCATTCCACGCTAGCGTGATCCTAGTCCCTTTGCGCGAATTTATATAGTATTACAGCACATAAATGTTCATGTCCACGGTAAGAAAATACCTTACTGGTAAATAGATACTGCTAAATAGAACACAGACTATTCTTTTAAAGCAAATTTTCTTATCCATTCATAAATTCTCCATACACCAGACGATATTTTCCAACTAAAACAAGAACTCTCGACTTTATTTCGCTTCCGTGTCACCGCAAACCCCGAGAGATTGAAAATTTAAGAGACGTTGAATCCTGGTGCAATCACCATAAAACCTTTTAATAAATAACATTTAAAATAATTAAGTTTTTGTTTGAAGTATTTTCGCTGACGACATAAAATTATAAAAAAGTAGGTAATTAAGTTGAAAAATATTTAAATTAAAAAATTCCTTAACTATTTTGCAGGCGAATAATATTTATTGGCTCAACGGAAATGAGTTACGGTAAAATTTCCTAAAGTTCCTAAGTTATATTGCAATTACCGATTTCCTGAACAATAGTGTCCATGGACACGATTTAATCCTATGACACTAGTTTATATATACAGGGCGATCGAGTTGCAAATTAGCTACTTTTAAAAAAGGCCGACCTACTTAAGGCTGTTTTTGCGGTATACAATTTTCTCTTATATCTTAGTTATTAATTATCGATATAATTTCATTTTTTCCTGAAATATACAAAAAGAAAACCTTATCATTCTCTAGTCCTTTATTATTTTTTTTGTTACACCCTAGTTTTTAAATAAAAATTAAAAAATAATATTAAATTTTATCAATTTTCATATATCAATTTTTGGAAAACTAGATTTTGTAGCTATGTTTTTTTCTATTTACAAGTTTTCGGTAAAACCAAAAACTAATTTGAGTTTTGTGGACGGACGCTTTTCAATATATTTATTTAAAACCCGTGAAAATATTTCACTCTTTCTTATTTACCTGCAGCCATCGTTTACTCGGATTAGAAAATATAGGCCAAGGTCTAACTCGCCCTTTGGATTGTAAAATTTTAGTATCGTTTATTTTTTACGCGTTGTGGAATTAATTATTATGAAAGAGTTTTGAAAGAAAAGTTGTGCAGTTGCTAGGCAGAAGGTAAGAATATCATTTTTATTCCACATTTTACTAAAGGAAAATAAATATTATTTGATTGATAAAAGAATATCATTTCACTAGAGTCTAAATTATATCAGAGTTCATGAATATTTTGAGAATAATTTCGAGTCGAAGACGATGGACAATTTAGATATTTTAAAAGAATGTTTCACTGATATCAAAGAATATTTTATTTCCAGTATGTTTTTATTTCTAGTTATAGGATGAATCAAAATTAGGGGCTATCATATTTTATAGAGGGTGAATCAAAAACTGCTGCTGCCATTTTTTATCGTCTGTTAATAACAGACCTCAAAACCATAGCGAAATCCTTAAAATTTGGTGAATATAGTTACCATCACTGTATATGTATATGGTTTAGTCAACTGGCGCAACCTATAAACTAAGAAATATTATTCTAAAGATAAAAAAACGTCGTGAACGTCTTATGGTTCTGTGTCATATTGGGACGAATTAGGCTACGTTGAGTCAGACTGCGTTAAATCAAAGGTGACTCTAGTTATTATTTTTGAAATTTATGATCAGCCACCAGTCACCAAACACCTGTTTTTTCAATACGGACTTCAGAATCTCCTACAGAAAATTGAAGTTATTCCCAGATTGATTTATTAAGTTTGTTTTTAATAATACATTTGTTAAGTCTTAAAACACTCAACTCAATGAGTTTAAATAGTGGTAGACTGTTTTTTTTGTGTGTTCAAGTGCAACAATTGATCACTGACTAGACAGTTTTAACTAGCAAAGTCAGACATTTATTGACCGTTCTGACTCACCCTGATTATTCCTGAATAGCCACTTCATGTTGACCGGTTTTCTTTTTCTCTAGGCTTATAAATTCAAGAAATAGTGTCAATTTAATAAACCTGATCGACACATATTTGTTTTGAAATAATGTCGGTGAAACAGTATTGATTAAATAGTTTTGGGAAATGTGTATGTTTAATTAGATGAGTGGATAACAGAGTTGCACCTAAATAACGTTATGGTGAGTGAAATAAAACTATTTAGAGCAATCTATTAAAACAAGTAAAACAATTTTGATATTTCTTAAACTGAAACTCAAATAATAACAGATGTGCCTACACCTAAGATGTTCTGTGATAATGATGAAGTAGATAAGGAGTGGATCATGTTGCTAGTTCCTGATAATGAACTAATTGAAATTATAGACAATATAAAACAAGACAACTAAACGCACATATTAACGGCAGATGACAATCAAGAATATACGTAACCGAACTACAAACTACTGAAGTGCCCAGTAACATAAATATTCACAGTAATTTTGAAAGTAGTTCCAGCTTGATTATGGATCAAGAAAAACAAGAAGTACAGATGATACAAGAAAATTATTCCAATAAGCTTAATGAAGAGCTGAGCATTGTCGGTGAGTTAGGCAAAAATAATAAAGGTATTACTAGAGAACGGAAATAGCTTACAATACATAGTAAAGGAATATATTTGGAGAAATAAAACGGAAAGGCCCGAAAAACCATTGAAACCTGATCTGTGCAAAGGAAAAAATAGCAAATCACTGCACCAAAAACTTCAATGATGAGCAACGCTTAAAATAAAATAAATAAACTACATATTATATAGTTTATAAATCATATAAAACGTGGAAAAATTGTTTTTTTCTCGCCCTCATCTTAAAATTTCGTTTCAGTTAAATTGGGTAATTTTTTACATTACCTTTTTTTTTAGTTTACTAATAAAGCGTAAGTTATATAAACTTGTTGTGACTGGTTTTAGAGATACATATTTTTTGAATCATTCTGTTTATAAACTATAAATATTTTAAAATAGTTTTAAAAAAGATAAGATTCTATAAATGACAACAAATAGGGTCTACCAAATTTTTGACTAGTCCTGTATAAAATGTACTAGACCCTAATTTAAATTGAGATTATTTTAGCGTTATATTACTTTTAAGTAGAATCCCATGTTAGATTAAAAATAAAAATATTAATTTTCAGTAATGTGCGACTCAACCTCTAACTAAGAATATTTTTCGTCATAGGTTATATTTGAAACAAATATATGTCCACAATTTAGTTAAACTAGAAAATATATTTATATTTTACCGCAAAACTACGTACGGCCCATTTATAAAAATATCCAAATTGCAACTTCTTTGCCCGGTATATCAAAAACTAGTTATAAGATTGAGTTGTGCCAATAGACACTATTATTCACGAAGTCGACAACTGCAACAAATCAAAAATTCAAGAAATTTCTACATAGGAATTGAACACAGATTAAAATTAATGCGAAATATATAGGGTTGTTACAAAATGTCGAAACGTATAACAATTACGTAAATTCACGCCAATGGAAGAGGCGACAGTAGTTATTACGAGTAAAACAGTCACGCTAGACATCACGCTAACATGCAAATTAAACGGGAGCCGTCGGAAAGTGTCATGGTTTTTTTTTTGAGTAACCCACTCGCAATTTTGGCTCCCCTACAGTCTACGAAGGCTAGAAACTTTAGGCCAAAACACCAAAATTTTGACTTCAGATTCCGAATTAACGAGCTAAGAAAAGAAACACACAGAAAATGATATTTTCTTCTACGTCCGAATCTTGGAGCTATTTCATATAAACTGGCTAAGTACAGGAGAGTTTATATCTAATTCCAGTCGAATTTTTTCTAGTCCATAAACAACGACCTGTACTCAACGAGCTCTCTTACAAAAATACCTCACCGTCTGTGCGTTTCTGCTTAGCCCTAACGTAAAGTTACGCATCACTATAGTGATTTTGATCGCTAATCTGGCGTTTCATTTTCTTAGGTTTATCTAATTCTTCCTGCATATGCCTAAATCTCACGAAACCCTGCTCGTCCACCAACATCGAATCCTGCATCTGGTGCCTATCGTGATTGGGCAACGTTTGTATTCCTAAATGCGGCCTAGGATGATTCTTCCGCGCTCTACCGGTCGACCTACGTCCCGACGTGTTAGAGCTATTCCTCGAACGCCTGTCAAAGTCGGAACGTTCAAATTCATGCTTCGTCCTTTCATACTGATGCGAACCAGGATTATCAATAGGCTCGCTGTAAATATTCCTCTCGGAAGTATTACCGAACATATCATGCTGATAATCCTCGTTGTTATACTCCATATCGTACTTGGGCTTAGCGTAATATTTAGCTGAATCGTACGTCTTTCGTCCGGAAGTTCTTTCATTCCTCAGACTTTCGTTCCTGAGGCTTTCGTTCCTTAGAGAATTTTGGACAGAATTATGCAATCCCCTTTCAAAATTACCCGAATTGGGCTGGACAAAATTATTTAAACTTGATCCGTCTACGTTTTGCCTGGCATCGAATCTATCCGAACCCCATTTGGGTCTTTCGAATCTATCGAAGTTACTTCCGCGTTCGCTGTCGCTCTGGTATCTCTCCAGAGTGGATTTTTTATCGAACGAGTCGTTCTGGAAGGCGTTTTTAAGTAAATTTGGTCGTTCGACGGGCTCAGTTGGAATGTTATCCATTATCATCTCTTGTCGGCTGTAGTTCAAAGCGTTAGGGTTCGTATTGCAATTGTTGGGGTAAATATTATCGGTGCTAGAATCGCTGGTGGTGCAAGGAAACAAAGGGAATCCACCGGCCGATTGTTTCTCCCTTTGGGACATCTTTAAGCTGACAACGATAGCTAACAAAGTGATTATAGAGATTTCTATAAATCTGACGGACAATTCGAAGCTCCACAGTATCCAATGATGCTTGATTTCTTTGCTAAATCGATCGACTTTAATAAAGAACAAAGCGTACACTTGCACCAACCCTAATAATATAAACAGTAAAGCTACGGCTATAGTAATGTGACTAGCATAGGAGATATTCTGTGTACACATCTCTGAGAGGTTCTGGCTCTTCTTAGCCAGAACGTTCTTGATGATTCTGTATAGATAAAGGTAGCTGAAGCCGAGAGCCCACGCCAAGAGGACAAAAACCGGTTTACAGATAGTTAAACTGGCTTTCTCGAGGTGGCCCAGAGTTTCGACAATGCTAAGACAAAAGCAGAGAGCGATGTGAAGAAGAGCAAACACTACCAGAAAAACTGGACGGGTTTTAACTTCGAGATGCGTTAGAGTTCTCTTCAACAAGAATAATATTAGCACGGCGAAAGTTGTCGCTAAGAGACTCAAGGGAAAGTTATGTAAAAAGTCGTATAGGAATATGTTGAATGAATTGTGTAGATTGTAAGGGTCGTATATGAGATAAAAAATGCGTAACACACATATAACAGTAAGCATCAAATGTATGGTAAGGAAATAACTTTTAGAAAACATATGAGGGTCGTTTTCGTATCGTATTAGCTTGAATATCGAAAAGATAGCTAGTATAAAGTAGCCAAAAACGACTAAATAGACGTGAACGTTCCAGCAAATCAACCATATTTCATCGGATTTAGCTATGGTTACGTTCATTTCTCTATTTATATCCTTTTCCTTCACGTTGGGCAAATTTAATACGTCCGACATTTGCGTAGTTACGTCTTCCGGGTTTTTCTTTTCTGAAAGAGCATTATCCTTTTTGATCGTCACGCTTTCAGAACGATCGGGCGGACCCGCTTCCTGGATAAAATCCTTTTTTGAATTAGCATCGTCGTTTTTTGGTTCATCCAATTTGGGTTTTACGGGGTGCATGTCGTTGGGATCGTCGATTTTTAGACTAGGCTCGGCAGCAGGTGCTCTGGTTTTTGGCAGTTTCGGTTCAAAGTGTTGAACGTTGGGAGTAGCGGTTACCGATTTTAATAAAATATCTGAAATGTGACCGTGTCGATCATTAGGCCCGCTTAGGATCCTGGTGATGTCGGAAACGACCGGAATTTTTTCATACTCGAAATTGTTCTCGCTGATGTTGCGGTTCAAACCGTGAAACTCCCCCACACGAACAGTCTGCGAGGGAGTGTTTAAAGACTTTTTCTTCTCGGTCTTGCTGTCAGGTGAATTGTGATTCGGATTTGATGGGCGGTATTGTTCATTGTTCGTGCTGGCGTTAGGCCGTTCTGGTACTTTTTCGACGTTAACCTTAGGCAAATCCGGTCTAAAAGGTATTCGGTCTTTTGTAGGCATCAGGCTGGGAGGTGGAATAGGCCTTCGGTTTACAAAACTATCCGAATTCGTTCCTCTTAAAGTGGGTTTATCGGCAAATGGATTTTGGTATTCAGGTGGTAGCGGAGGAGTAAAGAAAGCTCTACTGGGAGGGACGTAACTAGGAGGTTCTTTACCGTAAATTGATTTTGTTGGTTTAACGTTCCTCAAGAGGTTGTAAGACGTAGTTGTTTTGTAAACGTTTTCAGTAACCTGTTCTGGGTTGTTGTTTACGTTGAACTCCGGTTTAAGCCTGTCATTATTGTACCTGTTGGGATTATTGTAATGTCTGTTGTTGTTATTTTTTAGGATATCGGCAGCTGGAGCTGAGGTGGGCAGAGCGTGGTCCTTTTCAAGATCGGCACCGTAACCGTTGTCCAAATCTCTTCTGCTGTTTTCACTCTCGAAATCGGGTTGTTCGAAATCGACATTGGCGCGATCGATTTCCCTATCGGGATCAGAATTCTTTACATCCACCCTTTGCCATTCCTCATTACCGTTCACATACCGATAAGTGGTCAGTAAAGGTGTAGCTAATGTGGTTACGGGATAAACGCTATCAGGAATTGAACGTTTAGTCGTACTACCGTAAGCCACCTTATTGAAAACGGCCGCTATACTCTTTTCCAAATTGATTTTATCCAAAAACTGTTCCGTCTTATCGAATTCGTCCGCAAAACCGTTTACCTTCGCGGCAGACGTTAATAACAACAAGGCGGCAAGCAAAACGCGGCTCCTCTTCACAATTGACCATTGACTTTTATATAGGCACATAAATATTTTCCATAGACTTAATATTACAAAATAACTAAGAAATCGAGTACAGTCTTTTTCACAATATAAACAATCACAGATAACATAGTTGCCGTTGTTGGCATTACAGTTTTCTAACTTATCACCTAGGTCACTAGTGTGCGGCGAGCTCAAGCGGGAGCTATGGCTGCCAGACGGATCCCCTTCTTCATAACGATGCTGCTGTCGCTGCTCCTGCTGCTTCAGCAAACGAGTATCACGGTCTTCTGAACGAATATCGATCGGTACACGTATTCGATCATTGTTGGTGGCGCCTGCGCCGCTCAGCCGCGTGCAAGCAGCTTCGTCCATATCAGTTTTGAAATCGGTAGATGAACCCTGTGGCACTAACAAATCCATCAGTCTTTGGTCACCGATTTCGATCACATTGCGCACTGCGTTCGAGATCATTTTGAGGTCATTCTGATGGTGGGTCGGGTGCGATAGAAACGTCGATGGTGTATTTAGTTTGGAGTTGCGTGTGGTGATGAGTAGTTAGGATGTAGGTATCTGTAACAAAAGAGAAACAATTTTAATATGATGTTAAATATTGGAAAAAAAAATTACAGATCAATATTCTTTATTATAAGATATAAAAACGTTCAATCATACAATATGGAACCTTGTGGTTCTTGCTAAGAGTAACTCACTAGACAGGAATTGTTAGACAGTTATTTTTTGGTTCCTAGTAGTTAAGGTAACTGATTGATTACCTTAATTATATTGTTAAATGACAATACTGTTTTTTAAATTACATGATTAGTCAAAAATATCCCAAATAATAGTTTATAGAAGAGACGAATAACCGGACAGGAAGTTTTTGTATTACCTCGTATTACGAACCGGTGCGCGGTGGTCACATACGTAGTCGTTTATTTTCTATATTTTCGTAATAAACCCAGTGTTATGTGCATCGATTGGAAAAAGATATACAATGTACTGATACTGAATACTAAACAGTAATATTCGAAGGCAGTCTACAAAAGAAGCACGTCACATACATGGAGTCCCAATTGTAATCAATGGCCAGAAATATTGAGTTAAATTTAAACAAAATCATCCAGAATGGAGTTGTTAATAAAAAAAAATGTATTGTAGTGTAGTGTATAAAAGAGACCTTAAAAAAATGTGACTAGGCAATGTTACCACACTGTTATAGTAGTAGTCTTGTGGAAATAAACTTCTTTGTAGTAAAATTTACTATAATTTATATTTCAAAAAATATTCATAATTGTAGCAATTAGATTGTCGAATAAAAAACTACAAGAGATGAAGTAAAACCACAACGTTTATATATTACTATTGTTTGTAGAAATCGAAATTTATTACAATTATTGAAATTACTACTAATAACTCCTGTTTAAATTTATATATCAAAATAGTACAAAATAAATAGCGGAAAGATTAACGGATTGCCTAACTGTAGAGGTTATACTAATATTATAATAAATCAAATGTATTTAAGATAGATACACGATTTTTGATTTTTCATATTTGTTTCAAATTAAAGAAATAAAAAAAAACTTTCATCGGGAATTGAACCCTGGTTACAAAATTCAAAGTTGAGCGCGCTAATGACCTGAATCACGAAGATTCTTTGATCAAAAATAAGACGATTAAACGAAACATTATGAAATATTACTCGTTTCCGAAATACAGAGTGTTAAAAATTAATATTGGCTATAACTGTTTTATTTTTCATTATAATTTTACTAATTTTATTAAATTTGCAAAAATTTAATTAAATAAACTTTGCGAGTGGTGTACAGCATAGATAAGTAACACCTTCATCCCGTCATTGTCCCAAAACTTATTTGGAATATAATTTTAAATTTTTTGATGTTTTCTAAATAAATCATGTACTCAGTGCAGATTCTGTGAGGAGTAGGACGAAACATCCATTCAAATTTTTACTGAATGTGTAGCACTTAGGAATCCATGGGCATTATTATATTTACTTAAAAGCATACCAAATAGAAATCTGCCCAACTTGGACCCACTCCAAATCCTATATATCCTTGGAAGGGTCGTTAAATATCGACATTTCCTTGCTGCCTTGGCGTCAAAAAGAGGTACAATAATCTTGTAGATCGCAGTGTATATACCCCATATATAACATGATAGTTCTAAAAAATGTAATAATAAAATTTGAGAAAATGGAATGTAGGTTTTTGTTTTGTCTTGACCTTCCAAACATGTTTGTAAAAGATGTGTGTATGTTGTAGCAAGAAACTCTACATGTTCTACAAATATTTGGAACTTTTTACTTCAAATTATCCCTGTGGTTTAAACTGTTTAAACTTTTTATGTAACATTTTTGTTTTTTAAAAGTTGACTAAACGGAAATTGTCACTGTCAAAAAGTCATGTCACTTACGTTACTTGCAAATTTGAAATAAATGAACAATTGTGTTAGAAAGTATTTTAAACTAACATAATCCAAGTCATCGATGCAGAATCATACATATCGTCGGTATACAAAAGAAGGTGATCAAGTTCACCGATAGTAGTTTTGAGTTATTAGGATTATAATGATTTTCTACTGTATATACAAATATTTACAAAAAGGACTTAGTCATTATGGAATTTTAAATTATAGTACATGTGATTTACCAATTTTGGACTTGGTCACCTTCTCTTGTATACCGACGATATTGAGAAGAATACAACATTTTTGCAAGATATTAATTATACACCTTCTTCTATATGCTACTTATTATAGAGAAAAAATAATTAAAATCTTCAAAAAAAGGAACAATGAACTTCCGGAAGCAAGAATTTTAATCAAAATATCAAAATAGAAATAAAATAAAATTTGAATTTAAGATGGAAGGTGTAGCGAAAATTTTTGGACCATTATAATCGCATTATTTTCCTATATTATTTTTAGAAATTATCAAGTCACACATTAAAAACGTGGTATCCGGTATATTATTTTAACTTGTCTTGTAACTATCGTTGCCATAACAAGCAGGAAATTCTTATTTCCTCGTAGTTTTGTCATAATGGAGAGATTGGGTTTTTAAAAGCTATTAAAATGCTTTTATTTTTTACGTTTTAACATGCTTTTACGTTTTTTCTCTTTTTTTTTTTCAGTAGAATAGATGCAAGCAAGCACAAGCGATTTTTGTTAAACGAGAACGTACTTTCGAGAACTGTCGAATCAAAAGTTTGTCGCATTAAAAATAGAGACCAGTTCTGAGGAAGAAAGGGGTTTATGCACAAAACTCAAGTGGAAAATAGAAAATTACGTTACGTTGTATTCATGAGCTGAAAGCTGCGATTGATGTCCGTATGTGTTGGTTTTTGAATAGAAAACCAGACAGCTATGTTCTGGAAAAGCGGAAGGAAAAACTAAAATATCAATGCCAATTTTTTTTCAGGGACCGTGTTGAACATTTTTTGGTAGGTACTTTAAAAGTTTATATGCTGAAACATTCTTATACAGGGTCGGTTAATGAAGACTTTTAAAAAAAAAAAAAAACGAAAAATGTCCAAAATATCAAAAAAACTCTCAAATGCAATTTGGCCCGTTTAAATTAAAGTCGTGCGAGCCATTTACGACTAGTCCGGAACTGCTCTAATCCCATAAATCCTTGTCTGCCTTATTTGGGTTTACGAGCTTCCATTTTCCGATTACCAAGAATATTCGATAGAATAAGGCAACCTCCGAAACTCCCCAACGGTACACATGTGGAATCCGACAGTCGAAAAGAATGCTCTCGAAATTACAATTTTTTGCGAATGCAGTTAGGTCCAGTGTAAGAAATGGTGGAGGTACCTAGAATTTTGGAAACAGGTCTGGAGCGTAACATTTGTACATAAATAGGATTGTTTTGCTATTTGAGTCAGTTTTTAGATAAGAAATTAATCAGTTAACACAAATGTTGTAAAAGTAAATTAGTATATAAATTTTTAAGTATAAATAAATTAAGTTGTAAAATATATTAGTATATTTAGTGAAAATAAATTAAATAATAAACTGTTTAACGTTACATTAATCTTTCAGTTATCTATAATATGTGCATCATTGTGAAAGGAAAATACCATTATTTACGCTCACATAGATAATATTATCTATTCTACGCATAGACTACAGAACGTAAAAAGTGGGTCATTTCGTCCGGCTGAACGGATATAATTTCAAATTCATTCTAGTATGGACACTACACGGATATGAAATCCACCAATCACAGTTTATATTTGGTGACCGGGCTACTAACAATTTTTTTTTAATTTTAAATTGACAAAATTAGTTCCCTCGTTAGCGCAGAGTACTGAATTCACATGTAAAAGTCCGGAATTTAAATATAGGATTAGGACTAATTAAAATATTTTTTTAAGTGTATTTTATTTTATAAATTATTTTTAAAATAATTTTTCAATTTTGTGTAGATTTTCGTTGATAGATCATAGAATACAATAAATATACTGTACAAACAACTCGAGTCGATTGTCCATGGTCATCATGTTTGTTACTCAAACTACTGTCATATATTAGAAGAAAAACTAAGTTGCATGTGTCGTTATTTTGGAACTTTGTGACAAGTAAGGAACAATGTCGTTTTTATAGATTTTTAACGGTCTAACTAGAGAAATGAGACTGCATTAATACTCTCGTTGATAAAAAATTAAATAAATTGTTTTGTTTTACATGTAAGGACATGTTATTTACCTGATGGCCAAGCTAACCTATTCAGGATGGTGTGCCCTGATTACAATAAGTAACCTCAGGATATTTTATGTAATGTCAATAGTACAGTTATCCTGTACTACTGGAAAACAATAACTTTAATAAAGAAACAATATTTATTTGACGAAATTATTAAATATTTAATTACAGTGAAAATATTTTATTAATATTAAACATTTTTCCCTAAAAAATGATACCCCTGGGGATGGATATTGTTCTGATAAGACCATCGGTTCATTCACTACTATTTAAAGATGGTATGTTTTTGTTGTTGGCTTCAAAACAAATACAATTTTTGAGTAGTTTGGAATAGGGTTCAAAGGATATATATCATGATATTTATACCTTGATATATATCCGATATATTGGATAATTTAATTTATTAAATTAAAAATGTTTTCCACCACTCTAAACATCCGAAAATGTCTCAATACGCTCCTGTACAAAAGTATAATAACTAGCGATTTATTCGGCTGTCACGCAAGCATCGCCGCGCCGACTTTGGGGTTACCAGCTTTGCCACGATTTGTTCTGTTTTTGCTGTTTAAATATATGAATCAAAATATAGACAAAAAGAAAATGAACTTTGACTGGTCATGGGAACCAGCCTTATCTGAAGATTCTGAAGTTATTGTCACTAATAGGAATCACATTATTGATATTTATAATTAATCAGATGAGGATATACTAATATCAATGTTAAAATCTGTTGATTTTTA